CTGATTCTAGAAACATTCATCTGAATCAGAAAGAGTTCCTGTTTGTAAAGATGGAGGTTCATGTTGGAACACGTGTCTCTAACGTTATAGAATAAATAAATAAATAAAAACTGGGTCTTTGGGTTTGACGTTGTTGTTGTTGTTGTTTGGACAGGATCACGATGTGGACCTAACGTAGAAGCACTAGCAGTATTAATTAGCTTTAATTTTGGTTCTAATGACCTTTAAAGGAAAGAGCTTTTATAAAAAGTTGATTTGTTGAGAAAAGTTTGAGATAAAAAAAAGAAACATTACGATTTTCATTAGGAAAAAAACTGGAAACCAAAAAACTGTGGAGAGGTGTGACTCTGTCCATGGTCCTGAAATCAATAAGGATTTCATCACCAAGATTTTCATCTAGTCCTGAAGACACGTCTGTGGATGGGAAGGAAATGTCATTTGTCGACAGTTCCCCCTTCATCCATCTTCATCCATCCTTCATCCATCCTCCATCCATCTTGAGAGATCCTCCATCCATCCTCATCCATCCTCATCCATCTTCCCTCCCCCCTGGGTGACTGCAGCTCCGCCTCACAGACCATAAAGTCTGTTGCCTTTTTCCTGAGTCATCTGCAGTTCAGACGTCGGTGTTTCCTCTGACGGCTGCAGCACTTTCACTAAATGGATTGAACTCAATATATCAGAGCTACTAATTTCACCTCTGTTTTATTTGCAGCCAACTCTCTCAGGCAGTGGAGGCCGGGGGGGTCGACTAAAGTTGGTACTAAGAGTAACTCACTCTGTTATGTTACACTGGTGGTTGTTTTTATTCACATATATTTTCTTTGAATAGAGATTTCTACATATTTACTTTGATCAAAAACTTGGATATACTATTATAGTACACTATTGTACTCCTACAGTAGGAGTACACGTTGGTACTAGCTCCCTGTCTCAGACATGTCTCCGGTGCGACTCTAATGGACAGGAGTTCACTACGACACTGTGTTGGTTTGTTTTGCTGCCCCATAGGATAAAACACAGGAAGCAGCTCTAAAAATAGGTCCAGCCCAGAGGAGGGCTGTGCATCACACACACACACACACACACGTAAATATCAGGTTTCCTTACAGATAGATGGCGCTCACCAGGTTGGGCTCATTGAATAAAGTAAGATTTCAGGGTGGAAGTCTCAGATCCCGGGTTAATGGAGGTCAAATTATTTTTTGGGACAAAAACACATCAACAAAACCAGACTTTAACTCCATTATTATTAAATACATATATATATATATATACACACATGTATATATATATATATATATATATTCTGTCAATGATATTGTGTTTCTACATGAATGACTGTTTTTGTCAGCGCAGACAGAAGGAGATTAATGTCACTTAGTAAAGTTAGTCAAACAAATCGTTTTGGAGAAGATTGTGTTTTTCTGTCCAGAACAGAGTTAATAAAACTCTGTCCATGGTGCTGATTTAACAGCAGCTAGACTGGAATTAACGGTGCTCTCCGTGGTGCTGAACAACGGCTACATCAATAACAATTGCATCAATAAGTTAAAACCGTTTCCGTTGTAAAAACATTAGAGCAGTTTAAGAAGAAGAAGAAGAAGAAAAACGACGAATCTGTGATAAAACCACCAGAACAAACACATGTTTGACAGGAACCTGAAATCACTCGAAGCTGTTTCTGAGATGAGACTAAATAAAACCTCAACTCATGAGGGAACCCTGTGTCAGCAGGCAGTGGGCGGGGCTGCTCTGTCCCGGACCAGTGGGTCACGTGACCAGTCATGGCTGCGTTGTCAACATCGAACCTCAGCTCTCTGAGACCCTCTGAGGGGCCCTGAGTCTGTGAGACCGTGGGGTCGGGGGGGGGGGGGGGGGGGGGGGGGGGACACACCTGACGATGTCAACATCTCCATCACTGCACCAGCACCAGCTGCTCACAGAGGAGCCTTTTCACCGACGTCACAACCTCCTCTCTGGTTTTACTGTAATATAAATATGAATTGTCGCGTCCTCTCGGTTCCACGCTGTTCCACGCCGTCTCGCGTGGCTCGGCTCAAGGACAAACTGAGCTGAGGATTAACGGCAGATGGAGCTACAGATGATGGAACTATTCTGCAGGATTATGCAATTCCGACAGGAAATGATCCGCCCGGACTAGTGCCAGGGCGGTGGGGCTGCGGGGCCATGTGAAGCCCCCACAACAAGCCGTCGTCACGGTGACATTCAGGGCGAAAAATGTAAGACGACTCTCCGCATCTATCTGGAGACGACGCCGACATTTTACGCCCTGCCCAGGTTTTCAGCCCATCGGCCGGAGTCACAGACAACAGGGTGGATGAAGGCGGTGAAAACAACAACTAAATAACGCATTTCCATCTTACCCGGGCCGCCATCTTTACGGTTGCGGTAGATGAGAGACGCAGGTCTGGTCAGTGGTTCTCAGGACAGCGGAGACACTGAGCAGGGAGGCTCGGCGGCCCACGGCCTTTATAGGACGCAGCGCACGGCGCTCTGATTGGCTAATGCGAGAGGAAGCGCGCTCACGCACACGGATGTCGCGCGTCCCTTCACTCGCGTGAGGATATGAAGGGAAACGTTCCTCCTGTGACGTCACAAATCCTCACGTGCGGGGACCGAGAGTGGGCCGAGCAGACGCGTGTCTCTCCGTGGATCAGATGTTTTCAAACAGAATATAAAATAAAAAACACTAGAGGAATTACAAGTGTTTATTTCAAATATTCACAAACCGCAGTTTTCGCGACACTACCGTGATTTTACGATGATTTTAACAAAAGGCTGTGACGGCTCAGAAAACTGTGATCACGTGTTTACTGACGTCACCAAAGCTGCAGTATCACAGCGCTAATACAAGTCTGCGTAAAGCAGATGCAAATAACTGCAGGGTTGGCTGTAGGTGTGGTAACGGTCTGATCTGAGGGCTCCCTCTGGTGTTCAATCTGAGACTGACAGCCGCATACTGACTTTCAGAACGAAAAATGAAACAAAATAAAATGTTGAGCAGTGTGTAAAATAACGTAACATTAAATGGGATATTTCAGATTACTACGACAAAAATGTAATAATCCTAAGAAAACACACAGATTTATCTGCATTATGTTGCTGTGTGCAATGACACAATGTTGTATCTGAATATTTGGCCTGAACTACATCGTTATGCTGCATATTAGTTCAGTTTAAACAGACAATCCAGGTGAAGACGACGGACCGACGGGTGATGACAACTGACACTACGGACCGACGGGTGATGACAACTGACACTACGGACCGACGGGTGATGACAACTGACAACGGACCGACGGGTGATGACATTGTATCTGAATATTTGGTCTGAACTACATCGTTATGCTGCATATTAGTTCAGTTTAAACAGACAATCCAGGTGAAGACGACGGACCGACGGGTGATGGTAACTGACTCTCTACACCAACCGTGTTACATGAATGATTATTTTTATAAAAGGTTGAAATGTAATAAAACGTTTAACAGCAGGTCTGCACCACCTAGTGTTGACATTACTGCCACCTGCTGGCTCTGTTACTGGGTCCATAGGACTGGATCTAATGTCGACAGGTCCAGTACACCCAGAGACCACGGACAACAGACAGTAACACGAGGAACCACAGACCGAGAATCATAAAAACAGAGCAGCGAGTCGTACCTTTTCACCGGGGCGGAGCGGAGCAGGCAGCCGTCCAGACCTCACGGTGGTTCTGCTCTTCCATCAGGTCCAGGTTCGGTCTTTCCGACTGACGGAACCATAAACTTCTGAACTGTGAAGAAACTCGACGCCACGTTCTTTAGTTTCTGTAAAGTTTCCATTTGTTTGGGTTTAACGTCCCTCGTTTCCCGCCTGTGTTTGAGACGAACCACGCGCCGCAGTGATTGACATAATTGACAGCCAATCAGCGGCCGTAGCCTGCCCTGCGCCTCTCTTCCGCTTCAAGCACAGTTGTAATGGACGACCTTATCGTCAGTGCTGCCTCACTGTGGACAGACTGAGAACTACATACAAATACAAATTTGAAAAATACAGACTTTTTCTTTGCTGGTACGAACTACGGAGGCGAACATTAGGGTTTGGAATAAGATTCTTCATGTAAACTGGTGTAGTACTGGCTGCTGTGTCTTAATGTTGCTGGTCCTCAAGTTTAAGAACCAGTGATGTGGAGAAAAACCAGGACGCCGCTGCTTGTAAAGATTTTTATATAAAGTACCTGTAACAGTTGAATCAAATTCTTCTGATGTCTCACATACAGGTTCATACATCCACGTGACGTGAGGTGACACGTGACAGACCCATGTGTCACCGCCTGCACTTTTGTTCAACAAAGATTCAAAAGTCTTTACACAATAATGAAGAGGAAGAACAAGTGCAGTAACTGTTCACACCACCAGGTTACACCGTCGCTCGTTTGTCTTGTACATGTTGCAAGATAAAATATGGCACAAATATATGAGATGACAGTCTGTGGGGGGGGGGGGGGGGCCCCCCCCCCGACTCACTTTATAGTAATGGTCCTGGACGTTGTCGTTCTTCTTCACAGACCTTCCTGCAGGTCTGTAGGTCTGTGGTCAGTCTACATGTTCACCTCACAGATCCAGTCTTTTTTTAAAGATTTTTTTTTTTTTACTGCTTTTTTTCAAATGCAGCGTGAAAATAAAAAACGGCGTGGGATCGAACAACGTGTGACGGAGAAGAAGAACATCCTCCACGTGGAATCAGACACTCCAAGGTGTGAAGAACTCTGTTGGTTGTTGTCTAACTGACAGCAGGGGGCGGTAGCAGCTGTAACTGAAACAGGAAGTGGAGGTTGATGTCATTTAGATTTGGATCAAACCATGATTTTATTTCTAATTCAAACCACGGAGGAACCGAAGCCAAAGATCCAGAGGAGTCAGAGAAATGCTACGTGTCGACTGTCCACGCCGTCGGACGCAGCCGTGAGGTCAAAGTTGAAGAGCTGGTCTGTGGGCTCCGGGCCCGTGTGCAGGTTTGACTGGTGAGGTCTGATTGAGGACGGAGGCTACATGTCTGTGTCCAACCACGACGTCACACGTCAGCGGTCGTTAGAAATGATGGATCATCTCAGGAACAGAACGAGTTTTTTAAATAACCTCTGTAACAGTTATGTCTG